AAACTCAGGACCCAAAATAAGGTCAAAGCCTACGGATGGGCTAATCAAATAGGTGTTGTGCATCCCATCTTAAGCCCAAATGTTGAGCTAGTTTAGTCTCGGGCCGAGCATGCATGCTGGACCAACATCACAAAGTAAGTGGGCTGCATGCACAAGCCCAAAATAAGGGCCCGTGAAGGGCATGGATCATCTGTGATGCAGACACGAGAACATGGATACTCCAGCGAAGTTGAAATCTAGTGCGTCATGCATACATATACCAGCAGAAGCTGGGATCCTATGTGATGCGGCGCATGGGAGAGACGACAGAAGCCCAGATAGGCTCAACTGGTTTTCAGGTCGGGTTATCACCAAAGCCCAAAGGGCTAGTGATGTGAATCGAAACTCTCGGCACAAGCAGACCCAAATAATAAGGATGTTGTGCGAATAGACCGAATGGAAACTGAGGCCTGTTAGGGCTCAGGTGTGATCTTCAGGCCACCCCAACGGTGCTGGGTGTAGGGATCTGTAGAAACTAGTTGACGGCTTTGCTTCAAACGGTATTTCTATGGTCGGTGCAAGCCATGGTTCATCGGAGAATCATTTTGTCAACGGAGGTGTAATCTCAACATTGGGGGGGGGGTGGAAAAACTGAAGGAATTCGATCAAATTCGAATAAAAACTCATGAAATTCTTTTGGAATTTTGAAAAAAAATCGTTGGTAAAAACGATGAGTTTCGTCCAAATTACACGATTGCCAGTTGTGTTTCATTGGAAAAATCAATGGGGAGTACCTGGGCTTCAGGCTGAAGGTTGGGACGATGGTGCCTTAAATGCACCGTTTCGGTTCTGGGCTTGCAGTTTGGGTTTCCTTGCTAGGATAGGCTCACCAGGCTGACGTAGGCTGCTAGCGGCTTGCACAGTTCAGGTCATGAGTTCGAAGAACCCTAGCAGTTTGCAATTTTTTTTCTTTCTTTTTCAATTCAATTCAATGCATATTATATAAGTTAATGCATGAGCAATTCTTTGATGCAATTCATGACAATATCAAATTCCCATAATTCAACAATTATGAATATAATGCATACACAATTTATGTAGCCAATGTGTTGTGCTAAAGTTAGGTTATACACAATTTATGGTGAATGTTGATGCTATCAGGGTTGCAAAAATATCGAGATAAAAATTGTTGTTTTGGAAGAACCTGATTGCATGATGATATAGATGAACTGGTTTGATGTAGAAAGCTTCATCGCCAGATTCCTAAGCGCAACTGTAGGAGCGTGTTGATAATGTGTTATGGTCTATTTTATCTGATAGAGAAAAAGAGGGCCGGCGGCAGAGGGAGAGAAATTGTAGAGAGAATGTGTTTGTAGGAATGTAGGGGAATGTGTGTGTTATCCCTCCTACATAGTGCCTTTATTTATAGTAATAAGGGAAAGAAGAAATCCTTCATCCTCAAGGAATACAAGTCATAATAAGAAAGGGTAACTAGAATCAAATCTAATCTAGGATTTACACAATCACACTTTAATACGAAGTTTACAACATTTTAGATATTATTGTTCTTGATTAAAATATAGTGTGAAAATTAATTTACTTATTAACTACCTTATACAGTTTTTTTTTTTTTTTTTTTTTTTTTTTGGTAATCCTAATAGGGAAGAACAATTTTGATATTATGAAAACTTCACATTTTTAGCCTTCTTCCTTTATATTTCTAAATTATTTTATCTACAAGGACAAGACACATAATGCTATTGTTTAGTGGTATTTTTATCAACTAAATGTGAGACACCCCGACCTAGGAAGGTTGAAGCATGTTGGCCGTCATAACGTCCCACATCCACCAACATAGGGGGTGATGTGCCTTATATATACATGTCCACCTCCATATAGCACGAGACCTTTTGGGGACTCACTGACTTTGGATTCTATCAAAACTCTGAAGTTAAGCAAGTTCGGGCGAGAGCATTCCCAAGATGGGTGACCCACTAGGAAGTTCGTGTGAGTTCCTAGAAACAAAACCGTGAGGGCGTGGCCGGGGCCCAAAACGGACAATATCGTGCTACAACGGAGCCGATCTGAGATGTGACAAAATGTGTTTGTGTGACTTTGATTCTTTGGATGACTAGTGATAGTAGATCCAATTAAAGTACATGCTCCTATTAATTTTGGTTCACTCATTTCCCCGTTGTCTTCAAGAGGCATGTAAAGATTTTTCAAAGGATATTCCTTGTTTATTTTTTTTTTCTGTTATAATGGACGTGTGATAACTCGTCCCTATTTTTACGATTTTATTAATTTTGGAAGAGTGAAAGGACGAAACTACCCTAGAAGCGAGATAGTTGACTTTAGTTGACCGTCATTTCGTGACATGTACAAGCTTTTATTTTACCGTATTCTTGATGATACGAAAGTGTAAGTGTAATCTGAATAGAAACCGGAGTTACGATAGGGGTTTTACAGAACTACAAATCTGAAAAGTACTTTTGTAAAGATTACTATTTATTATTTTATATATTTTTCCTAACTATTATATTATTATTTTAAGATTATTTGGTTAGAAATGAGGGGAAAAGGAAGAACAAATGAGAGAGGAAGAGAAACAGAGGAGGAAGGAGGGGGTAGAGCTGCCCAATCGGGGGAGAAGAGAAGAAGATTGATCAATGAGAAGCAGGAGGAAGGAGGGGAAAGGAGAGAGAGGAGGGGCACCCAATCAAAAACCTATCCCCTTGAACTATTTCTTTCACTTGACCTGATTCGGGAGGCACCCATTTCCGATGCCCTCACAACGTTTTTTGAGAAAATAAAAGCTCCTCACCATTGCCAAATCATTTCCCCACCACTTTCCCTTCAATTTCCAACCAAACCCGATGAGATTTGGAGCTCGATTGTGCGATGGAACACCAATAGATCCAAGGGTGTCTAGGTGTTGATCCTCTAACTGTGAAACGTTTTCCTTCAATTATCACCACCAAAACGCTCTTCAAGAGGTCAAGAACAAAGGCCAATCAAGTTTGGGGGTGGCAAAGCACCGAAGGTGATTGATCGAAGCCACCAATTTCTAGGGTTTTCGGAGGGTTTGAGACAAATTGGAGCTTTTCTCGGCCAAATTGGACTTGGCCACAGGTATAAAACTTGCTCTACTCATTGAGATCTTATTTTCTGTGAAATTTGGTAATTTTTGGAAATAATTGATTTTTCTGGCGAGTTGGGGCGGCTGGCCATCACATGCGACGATGCGTGGACAGAGACACCACTTAACCTCCCTAGGCTAAAATTTGTTCCCCGATTCCATATTAGACATCTAATTGACGCAATTTCGTTGTTTGGTTATATTTCTGTTAAGGGTCGTTACTTGGCTATTGTATGATTCGACGATCCGATCATTGGATCATCATCAAAATTTAATACGTAATAGTATATATATTAAAGGATATTAGGAATTGACGGATCTGGAATCTGACGTAAGGATCTTCCCAGATGGGTTTTTTAAGTTTGTAAATCTAGGCTGCCACTTAATCTTAGCAATTGGCGAAGATCCGATCGTTGGATCGTTCCGAAACTTTATGATGTTGTTCTATAAGTATAATGTGGATCTTTAGAAGTTACATATCAGAAATCCGAGGTTTGGATCATTCGGATTGAGTTACGTAGGGTTGTGTACCCTACCGTCAATCTTTGACTGATGGTTGACTTTTGGGTCGCATTAGGCGACTCTGACTCGTGTGCTAGCATAGATTGATGAGTACTAGGTCAGTCGTACAGGTCGCATTAGGCGACTCCGACTGGTGTGCTAGCATAGGTTGTTGAGCACTTAATTTTACTTATATTACTGTTGAGATTTTGTGATTTTAGGATATCATGCCTTATTTATGTTTTGCAGGTTACGGTAAGTATTTTCATACTATACATAGTATGTATATTTTGAAAACTATACATGTTTTATGGCGAGGGGTTACAACATTTTCAAAGGTTTTTATTAAAACTTTATTTTTAGGCCCACTCACCCTCATTTGTTCGCCCTTTCAGGTTTTAGCTGTTAAACTTTTGTATTGACGAGGATTCTAGGCAAATCTCAGTATAGGCGGCTACCTTTGAGGGTATAATCCTTATCCTATCTTACTGTACTTTACTTATACTCTAACATCACGCATGAAATTAGTTCATTCCCGCTCATAGCGCACTCTTATATTTAGGCACTTTTAGGTTTAAATTTACTCACAATTCCACATCACTACACTTTATGGCTTCATCACCTTCTAGGTATTGGCCAGCACTAGCTCGATTCAAAGTCCTAGTGGACATTCGGGTCGGGATGTGTTAGGAAGGGACTCGAACACTTAACCTAATTTTCTCAGTAACTCATTTTTCGACCGATCAAGAGGATTTTTTTATTTTCTTTTCATAAGGTATATCATTATAGAATATTTTGCAATTTGAATGATTTTGGGAGTTTTCCATTAGTAACTTCATAACTTCATAATCTGCCACGTGAAAGATTTTGTGAACAAAACTATCAACACAACTAGTAAGGTAATACTCTTTGAATACAAGTAATGCAAGCTTCGGAGAGGAACTACAGAGTTAGTAACTGCTATAACAAATAATATACGAAAAATGGCAACAAAAATGAATCTGTCAATTACATTAAAATAGACCGCACCAACTTCATCACGAGACTCGAACAAAAAACACTAACCCGAATAGCAAATTTAATACAAATAAAAGCCGCACTAACATCTACATAAACATGTCACAAAAGTTAAACCCAATCTGTTGCCAATCTCACACTACTAAAAAAATGTGATGCTAGGAAAACTAAATTGATAGACAAAATTTTGTAAATTAAATAACTTGAAAGCTCTTTTTTCTATTAGTAACACATTATTTGGTTTGTAAATTTTCAGATCACAAATGAGTCAAAATCGAAAATTCAGTAAGAAGGAAAAGAAGCCCAAACCCGGAGGGTCCAGCCCACCTGAATAACAACAATAACGCATCTGCACCGAAGAAAAAATAACGTACCAGGCAGCAGGCGTGCAGCGTTCAGATGCAGGGACCCTCTTCTTTTATCCTCTCTCTATCTCTCTCTCTTCTTCCCATCTCAGTTTCCTGATGCGAGACACAATTGATTGCAAATTCTGAGCAGATGTCGAGTTAAACCTCTTTCGGAAGCTTCAATTTGGCTTTCGACCCAACAAATTTTGTGGCAACGTTTCGATTTTTGAGGTAAGAGCTAAGGGTTTCGTTCATTTCTTGTTTTTGAAACTCCTGGAATTTGAATTCAGCTCAAGATAGCTCAAGAAATTTTTAAAATTGAATCGTGGGTTTGTTTTTTGTTTTTGGATTCATGCGTTCACGAAGATAAATTTGGTAACTTTTAACTGAAGGGCTGATGGGGTTTAGGTTTACTTACCAATTCTGTTGACCTAAGTGTGTTATATTATCTGATTGTGATTTTCATTGGAAAATAGGTTGTTTTGAGGAAGATTTTGATGTGGGGTTTGCTGTTTTCGTGTTTTTTTTTTTTCGAAACGAAATGATGATTTGGAGGTAGTTTAGTCCTATGAAGGAGAAGAAGTTGTTGGTTGGATTAAGAAACCAGAGGGGAAAAAGAATAACGGGTGTGGATGGAGTTTAATCTTGCAACGGAGAAACCGGTGGTTTTGAACTAGGGTCTTGCAGGATTATCTTCTTCGTTGTGGTTTGTTGATCTTGAGTTTGTGCGGGAATGGATGACACCGAAGATGATGCGAGGTATCCTCCTAACCTGTACGGTGGGAATCACCAGCAGGGTTATGGTTCTTCACAACGTCCCAAGCTTCCTGCTCGTGGTGGTGGTCCATATCCTAGGCCAGTCCGTAATGACTATGCTGATGATGATGAAGAAGATGAGACTGATGACGATGAAGAGTTGGGTGAGGAAGAAGAAGATAACAATGGTCGAAATGGTTTTCCTTCTGTTCACAAAGGTGTTGGGGATGATGATCACGAGGATGATAGTGATGATGAAGATGATGAGGATGATGAAGAGGATAATAAGATGATGGTTAGAAGGCTGGATGATGATGATTTGAAAACGCACCCTAAGAAGCGTAAGTTGAAGAGTTTGATTTCAAGTTATGAATTTGCTCCTCGTTTGCCGGCTCCTCCTGCTGCTGCTGCTGCACCCTCTGCTCCAAAACAATCAATTGGTGGCCGGAATGCGCTTACAGATTGGACTGAACATGAAACTTTTGTGTTACTAGATGCTTGGGGTGATCGGTTTCTTCAACGTGGAAAAAAGAGTCTTCGCTCTGAGGAGTGGCAAGAGGTTGCAGAGAAAGTATCAGAGGTGTCAAAAATTGAAAGGACAGACACACAGTGCCGCAATCGGTTGGATACCTTAAAGAAAAAGTACAAAAAGGAGAGGGCCAAGTTCGCAGAGACTGGTGGTGCCACGAGCAAGTGGGTTTACTTCGCAAAGATGGATATGTTGATGTCATCGCTACAACAGCAAGCTGGCCTGTCTTGTGGCTTGGACTCAGGGGAGTATGTTTTCATGAACCCTAAAGTTTATTTGAACCGAGCAAATGGGTTGGATGAGATGCGGGATAGTCCAGGGAATTCAGAATCAGCTGAGGGAGGGGATGATGATTCGGATGGGCTACCACCCAAGAAGAGAAGGTACGGAAGGGAGAATGATGATCGGGGTTCCTTTAGATTGCTTGCTGATTCCATTCAAAAATTCAGTGACATATATGAGAAGATTGAAAATAGTAAAAGGAAGCAGATGGCAGAACTAGAGAAGATGAGGATGGATTTCCACAGGGACTTGGAACTGCAGAAGAGGCAGATTATGGAGAGAGCGCAGGCTGAGATAGCGAAAATACAGCATGGCGATGACGAGGAGAATGATAACTCTGCCGAAAATGCGAGCGGGTGATATCGGTATCTATCTGTAATATTAATTGGTTATGATAACTATTAGCTGTTGTTGTAACAATTGGGGGAGACTTTAACCCCTTTCTATTTCTTTTTGGAAATAAGTTGTTGATTTTATATCAGATATGGTATTAGAAATTAGAAATTTCGAATTACTACTGTGTTGCCTCTAGAGATCTTCCCTTTTGTTCCATATTAAGAGCATATCTAATGTGTTGGGGAAGGGCTGGAGCCAGAGGCAAAATTTAGCCCCTCCAAATGATGATATTGCCTATCAATACTTTTTTTGGTTCTAATGGTGAAGGGTTAGAGATTAAGAATGTTGTTGATGCACAAAATCAGCATAAATCCGATCGTAAATCACTCATTCGCACAAGAACACGACGACATATCATGGTTCATCCTAAGTTGGAGTTACTTTTACACAGATGTCTGTTTCACTATGTAGATGCTGGTGACATTGTAAATAGAGGCTAGAGAGGCTAGGGTTTTCCGTTCTTGTCATCCTTTTAAAGTGAGGGTGAAGGATCTCTTTTATAGAATAAGGGTTTTCTTCCCCTCTTGTATACATCATCGGCTAAGTAGGGAGGCCTAATATATGGGTTTCACGCCGCTCAAGGCTTGAGCTGGAGCTAGTTTGGCCTCGCAAGATGTCTAGGCATCAATCTGACGGGGCAAATTTCTTGGGCTGGAAGTTATTTTTTCAATTTAGAGGCAAGATTAACAATTTGCCTAGGCCATAATGCTCCATTATATATACTCTGATAGTTTATTTTCTATATTGATTCCCCCTGCCAGCATTTGCCTAGGCCATAGCGCTTAACATTTTTTAGAACCTTGGTAACGACACACAAAACAATTCACTTTCAAATGTTTGTTTTCAGGAGTGTAGATATCTCAAAGACGATAAATTATGATGTAAGATGGCTTGACGAGGAGCGTCAAAATCGCTACCCTGTTCAGCAGTAATGAGGTGGCGGATATGTATGGTTATAAGAAACAGAGTTATCAAAAACGTATCAGAATGAATTATTCCTTACAAAAATAGGTGGCGAAATGAACATTAGATTATAACATCCTTTTATATACTACAATTAGAAGGCTACCGCATTTCAGCACTGAATTTGTCCAGCCCCTGGATAAGTTCGGTGAGGCTGTGCAGAGACTACGAAGCCAAACCGCAACCCTCGTTCTAATCGTATTTACAAAGTCAGCATTCGAATGGGGTTTTCTATCACTTCCGGGACCGTCTTTATCAGTTTCGGTTTAGTAGCAAGTTCTACAATGCATCACCTTTATAATTTCGTGTTTCTTTTCCTTTCGTTTTCAGCCAAGTTCCAACCTCGACGATACTAGAAATTTGTAGGATGTGATGCTGTTCAGCTGGCACTTAATAGGGTGTATGACCTGCAGAAGAATTAGTCACTTCATGAGTGAGTTAATTACACAGTAGCAGGGATACAACAGCAACGATTAAAATTTGATTACCATGAAATAATGAGCTCAAATGCAATTACGAAAAGCAATCAATCATACGAATAGCTGATAAAGCATCCTTTCACAAGTACATCTTTTTATTTTATGTTTTTTCTTATAAGCAAGTCTCCAACCATCTTAAATCCAAAACAATCATTAAAACCGTGCGTAGGTAGAGTGCAAGAGCCTTGACGCTAAATTATAAAATCAATTTTACTAGTAAAAGAAGAGAAACTACGTCACACCAGATCCCCCCGAGGAAGACTTATGAATGTCATCAACCTTGCCGACTGCCTCAAGAATTGACGAGTAAGTAATGAGATCATATTCAAAACCTTTTGAATCCATCTCTTTCATCAGCTTTGCAGCCTCTTCAAGCAAACCAGCTCGGCTTAGACAACCAAGAATAGTGTTATAAGTAACCGCATCTGGTTCAATCTTAGAATGCTTCATTTTGGAAAACATTTCCAAAGCCCGATTTGGGCCACCCGTCCTAGCCAAGCCATTCAAAATAATGTTATGTGAGTTTAGGTCAGGAATGCAGCCGTTTTCTTCCATGACTTTAAGCAAGGAATGTGCTTCATCTATCATATCAGCCCTCACCATCCCTGACATGAGCGCGTTATAAGCATACACATCTGGACTGCATCCGAGTTTCTTCATCTCGTTAAAAAGATCCACAGCATCATCGAGACGCCCACATTTCCCAAAATGTTTAATCATCACAGCATATACCCTAGCACTTGAACGACCACAATTTTCTTTCAATTCTTGGAATAACTCATTTGCAGCTTCGTACCGCTTTGCTTTTCCAAGACTGTTGATCAGGCTGCAATAGGCAGCTGGACAAGGAGGAAAACCCTTCTCATCCATCTCTTCGAGAAGCAACAAAGCTTTCTCTACTCTATTTGTTTTGCAAAAACCATCAATAAGAATTGAATAGGTAAATGAACTGGGAACAATGCCATTAACCTTCATCTTCTCAAACCATGAAGCTGCCTCAGAAGCTGGAGCTCTGGATTCAAATAACGCTTTGATTACAGTGTTATAAGTCACCACATTAGGTGTGCAATGCAAAGATGACATCTCGTTGAAAATCTTAATAGCATCTTCTATACGACCTTCCTTTCCCAAGATGTTTATCAAATTGTTCATGAGCACAACATCAGGCTTACAACCCTCCCTCAGAAGGTTTTTGTATATAGCATAAGCATCGTCTACTCTCCCCGCTCTGCCAAGCCCCTTTATCAATTCAGTGTAAGTGAAAACAGTAGGCGGGCACCCCTTCTTTTTCATCTCCTGTGCTAGGCTTAAGGCTTGCTCAACTTTGTTTAACTTGAAAAAAATTGCCAATAAGGTAGTGTATATCTTTGCAGTTGGATGTAAACCATTATCCTTCATCTCATCAAACAACCTAATGGCAGAATCATCACGACCCAATTTCCCAAATGCGGATATCAGCGCACTGTATGTAACTGTGTCTGGGAAACAGTTATCCTCGTTACACATCTCATTGTAGAGCTCATGGACCTTGTCATTATGCCCTTCTTGCATCAGCATTAAGATCATGGAGTTGTAAGTATTTGCAGTTGGTTTGCACTTGTGGCCTTTGACCTGGTAAAACACAGATAATGCCTTGTTCACCATCTTAGCCCTGCCCAAGACTCTTATGATTTCAGATAACTCAGCTGGCTCAATAATGCGTGCACTCCGAGCCATTTCTTGGATTGTTCTCCACATTTCACCAAACGCACCAGCCTCGTCCAAGCAGCGGATCAATGCCATGTACGTGGTTGAATCGTGTTGGAAATTCCTTCTCTTCCCAGCCCACTTGAAAAACTGAACCTTAACATTGACATCTACATCAATCTTGAGAACTGCAACAACCAATCGGTGATCGACTCTCAGCTTCAGAACTTCCAGTGCCTTTTCTGCATCAGGTCCCCACTTGAAAATTTTTAAAATCTTTGTGAATCTCTCATCCAACATCCTAACTGAAGGGTCCTTCTTTGACATGTTTCTACTCATGGGAAAGTTTCGCTCTTCCCCAGATGCTGCTCTAGGCAACTGGAACATTTTGACTATCTCACCTTCTGCTTAATCACAACACAGAAACAAGTAATCACACAACATTCACTAAGTATATTCAATCAAAACCCAGTTGCTAATAGATATATATGACTACACACACACACATGTATGTATGTATGTAGCAATACAAGTTGTTCACATATATAGCATAATCTTATCAACCCTAAATCAAAAACACAAAAAAGAGAGAAAACCCAGTTGCAGAAATTTGAAGGGGAAGTAAATGTTTTGCAAATAATTAAGCTGAAATGGAAGCATAGACAATGCAGATTACCTGTTTGATTAATTCTCCCAGAGAGATGAGGAGAGGTTGATATGCACCGCTTTAAAGCAAACGAATTTGCAACCAATTTTACCATAATGCACGCTGTTTTTGCATCCGAATTCACACCTCGGGATCAGAGTGGACGAATCCGCTCATGCTAATTAGTGCAATAATTTGTGTTAACTTACAAATTGTTGTTCTGGCCGGCCTTCAAACGAAAATCTTGCGACAGGAGCTGCTGTTCCGGAGTCAGTTAGCTGATACAAGAAGTAACAGTCGCGCGGTTGTTCGAACAGGGATAAGAGAAGGACGGAGGACATAGTAAGGGGAGAAAGCAGAGAACGGAAAGGACGGGAAGAGGGAGAGAGCCAGGATATGTACTTTCGTTGCTGCTGCCCCTCTCTCTAATCTCTAATTATTGTTAGTGAATTGAATAATTTTTTGGTGAAGTGCCGATTTAAGCTACTGAACTATTAGCTCAATAAAAATAGGTTTTAAATTATTTTTTTAAGTAAAATAAATCCCTAAATTCATTAAAATTGCTAATTTCATCTCTATTATTATATTCAAAGTTATTTTATCCAATTTTTCTTAAACTTAAGTCACTTGACACACTTTAAAGTGTAATACTGATCTTTTCTCGCCAATAAGCCTTTAACATTTCATTTAAGTTGTGAATCTAACGTCGAATTTGGCCTTTAAAGTTAACTCCATACACTATTTCTTTGTGAAAAATTACCAATCTACGCTCCAATGTGTATTACATGCAAGTAACGTTACTTAACTTGACGGAAAATTGAATATGGGAGCTTCGAAATTAATATTAGCGTTGTAATTGGAAGATTTTTATAATTCAATGACTAATTTTTCTGAAAAAAAAATAGCTTAGGGACCTAATTTTCACTCAAGTGATAATTCAATACCTAAATTGGCAATTTACCTTATATGCATGTAGTACTTGGAATTGCAATACATGTGTGAATTGTGATTGCATAAATCCTAGTCAATGTATTAAAAGGCGAAAGCTGATATGAGCATATTTATGCTACTCAGTTATGTTGTTTCCTTCCATTTAGTTAGCTAATTACTACTTATTATAGTGTTTTAAATTATTTTCGTGTGTTTTTAGGTTCTAATGACAAAGTTGGCAAGAAACTGCAATTTGGAGCATTTTGGAGCAGTTTTGAGCTTGGAATCTGCCACAAGGACCATTCCTTGTCCTCCTTGGAATCGGATTGAAAGTGTCCTTGTTCTTTGGTGATTTGGAGTCCTAATTCCTCTCCTTTTCAGCCCAATTTCATGCCTTCCCTTCACCCTATAAATACATGATGCCGCAACACTCATAAACCACCACCCTCTACCACAATTTCACACCACACCATTTACCACATATGGAGTCGTGCTTGCCATTCAAAACGTTGGATTGTTGGAGCATTTCTAGGTGTATTCTATTCTTTGTTTTCAATGTTTAAATTTAATTATCTTTGTTTTGCGAACATGATGAACTAAATTCGTTTTAGTTAGAGGTAAATTCAAAGCCATGAACATATATTTGATATGAATTGATTTCATCCTATTATTGTTTCATAAATCGTGAATGCAATTTGCTTAACTGCTTGATTGATAACTTATTCTTGTATGTTGATTAAGGAGGCCTACTTAGTTTGCATGGATGAATTTGATGCTAGAATATAAGGGAGTTTCACCTAATCGTTATGAACTTATATTCATAAGTAGTGGAAGTCACTAGTCATGATTGTGTTAAGTGAATCCTTGGCAGGAGTCTCATGTGTTTCATAGTGATGAATGCCTTGTCAATGCTTATGATTTTCATAGAACTTAATGACTTTTGATATGTATCTCTATCATGCGTTTCATATAGGGAACTTGAGAAAGATAATTTGGTTGTAATGTGTATTTATTCAATTCAATGAAATAAGGAAAATCTGATGGTTGGTTGTGTGATGCAATTAACTTGGAGTATTGTCATTTATGGTTTAAAGAAATAATAACTGGAAACCGTTTTGTATGCATATTTGTCATGTGTGGAGATGAACCCTCTAGCTAGCCATTCACCCATATTTCACCCAATTTCGTCCAAGTTGTTTAGAGTCTTTACAATCTACTTGTTTTTACCTTAATTTCATCCAAAATCCAATCCCCCTTTACCTGGTTGTGCCTTTGAGTTAGAATATGTCCAAATTTATGTTTTAAAGTGTCTTGAGTCAAAGTTAAGTTAGAATTCGTCCAAATCACCCTTTAGAGTCTAGTTTGAGTCTATTTGAATGTTTTGTGTTGTTTTGAGTCTTTTTAGTTTGTTTTGAGTAATATAAGTCTAGTTACGTGTTTTTAAGTTTAGTTTTGTGTTTTTAAGTTAGTTTAGAGTAGATTAGCATCCCTTCTAATCCCCGGCCTAAAACGATCTCTACTTTCATATACTACAATCATAGGGTTTTAATTTGAGTGCTAGAATATTTCACATCAAAAGCGTAGGTGAGGTGTTTCATGGATAGCTTCACCTAAGCGAAAGCCTTGAGGCGTGAAGTTAAGCCTCGCATAACATATTTTAATATATATAATTATATATACACACACACATACTATTTAGATGGGATATGTCACACCCCGACCCCGAAATATTTGTTTTATTTTGGAAAATAAGTATATTGGTGATAGGCCCAAACTAAACTCTTGTTTAGTTAACATACCATTAATCCCAATTAAACACTTTAATTTCATGAACCCTCATAATAAATTTATAACCAACATTTAATTATCAAAGCATAAGAATAAAACTCAAGTTATTAACCCAAACTCTCTTCTTTTAGCACAATCGTTCAACAAAAGATTTACCTCGATTAATTAGCTCTCACTTATCGTGTTTCTTTACTTATAGGTCTTGTTTCCATCCATGGTCCACAACCACAATTTCTATATCAAATGCACTATTTCTTTTCACATTTTGTCACCACCTTCCTTTATAGATCAAATCTCATTCTAATTTTTTATTCTCGAAGTATTTAATCTCACTTATTTTATGGCTGCATCTAACGTCTCGTTAGACTGCCTACGTACCCTAAATAGGGATCAAGCTATTCGTAGACATTTTCAAAAATGCAAACCAAACCCGAATATATTCATTTAGTCCAACATATACCATAATCGTATTGACATTTAAACCACAACAGTTAGGTCTCAAAAGCATAATTATAATAACAAAATTCGCATCAAAACACAATCTCAGCTCCCTGGCTGTGCGCCGTCACACCTGCCGCTGTGGGTGGCGGTCGGCTGTCCCAGCTCGCCGGAAAACTCAACTATTTGCGGTCGGCTGCTGTGGGTGGCGGTCGGCTGTCCCAGATCTCAAGGAGTTGAGCAAACTTTATACCGGCGGCCAAGTTCAATTTGGCCACGAACCGCCGGAATCCTTGTTTTTGGGTGTTCTTGATTTGACTCCAAACCAACTCCGACGCCCCAACCAATGCATGGGCTTTGTTCCTGGGTTTGAGGAGAGTGTTTTGGTAGTAGTAATTGGAGGAGTTACCTTTATAATTGGTGAAACCACTGCACCTTCCTTTGAGGCTTTTACATAAAATTGAACCCCAAATTTGACTGTTTTAGAAAGAAATTTGGAGGGAGATTGAATGGCAACAACATGAGTGTCATTTTGGCACCTTTGCCGTCGTCAAAGGTGACCGGAAATTCAAAAGGTGGCCGGGTTAGGTCACGGGTTGGGGAAAAACCCGGTTTCCCCATGCTTCTCTCTTTCTCTCTTTTCCCTCCAATTCTTCTTTTCTTTCCAACCTTTTCTTTTCATCATAGCCTTTCATTCCCCCTTTTTTTTTTTCCATCTCAACCACACATGTGGCACAACACATTGGCTCCAATTTTCTGGAGCCTTCTAAAATGATATAAAATTACTAAAATATCCCTAACTTTAAACGTTAATAACTTCTTCGTTATAACTCCGTTTCACGAACGGTTTATACCTACGTGTTCATGAGATCGAGCTCACTTCAAAAAATATAAATTGTGACCTCGAGAGGGCTACGGATTTTAGATAATTAATTTTCCAAACTTTAAACCTCGTAACTAGTTTAATTTAAAACTTAACTCACATCAATTATTATAAATTCTTGAAAAATCAAATAAAAGCTCAATACTACAATTACGTTAATTGTAATAATTTCCCACTTCTATTTCCATAACCATAAATCGATTTATTTTCGATTTTCTCTACGTATTCATAATTATGAATATTTAATTCATATATTTAAATTTTCAGGGTATTACATTCACCCCCCCCTAAGTTAAAATAAATCTTGTCCCTGAGATTTCAACCATCGAATAACGAAAAGGGATTTAGAACTAATCCCACCATTCCATTCGTATGGAATAAAATCATAATGATTCACACCATATACCCATATTCACTAGCAGGACAGAATATCCAAAATTTTGGCCATACACATTGGCAAAATAAACATCAAACATCAAGCCGCCACCCATTATTGGCTAAATAATTACTAATATAATAATCACAATCATTTGTAAAATCATTCACCATCATTTGCTATACTCAGCCGTTACTACGATTTTTCTTCCAAAATTTAGCGACTCACACTTCTGGTGCACCATTCACATTCTATTAACCAAAGAAGATAATTTATATGTATCACAACTCAATTGGCCAACACAACTAAACCTTATTGATTGCATAACTATAAGAACATGTGTTCTTCATTTGTTCAGTTCCTGATATCGAATCCAACAATGATGACTCTTGCATATGGCAACACCACCCCCCCCCCCCCCCTTTTTTTTCCCTTCTGTCAATTTGTTCCCTTTTAAATTGTTTCAAAATGTAACCACAACTCGAATAAATTAGTGAGCTGCACTTTCAGAATACTATTTACATTTCGCCAATCAAAGAAGAGAAATTTACATTTTATGACCTTAACGGTCAACGGAATTAATCCTTACTAGTCACATAGCCAAGAGAATATATGCTCATCATCAGTTTTGTTCACAATATCAATTTCCAACAATGACCACTCATGACCCATGGCAACCAAAACAACACACTTATAATTATACCCTTTCTCCATCAATTCTTTCCATAATTCATAAAATTTCACGTCTCACACAATTGAAAATTCGTTCATATTAAACGAACTCAAAATTTCATTTCATAATTTTACTCATATCCACCAATAATAAATGAAGAAAACTTCATGGTCTTTCCACCTTTTTAAATTATAATAACCAAATCATAACCTCAGTTTATGATTCCATTCTCACCTAATGAATTTTCATACGAAAATCTATTCTCGCTATTTGAAAATTTACATCGTAATTATTGGTAATCTCTCTTCCCACTTAGTTTTGGCAACACGAATACCATAAGTTATGACTATAAACGATATTGG